ATTCTTGTATGTCTTTATATTTTGATTAAATAACTATTGATTTTTTTGAATTAAATTCATTAAAACGATTAAAATAAAGATCGTTATTTTTGTTTAGAAAAAAAAAATTCGAGTTTTTGAAAATTTTGGGTCGGCAGGTAATACAAACCGAAAAATTAACTTTGGCCTAATAGGGGGACAAATTCCTTCTAAACTTTAAGCAAGTTTTTTTGATAAGCACCTAACAAAATTCGATAAAATTATAGTAATGTATAGAAATAAAAAAAATTTCATGCAATCTGATTAGAAAATTATCGAGAATACTTCTCTCTAAGTTTAAAAAAAAATTAGCTTACTAATAGAAGGGACAGATTCTTTCTAAATTTTAAGCAAAGTTTTTCAATAGCTACCAACCAAATTAGATGAATTGTTTTTAGTTAATTCTACATATTCAAAGAATTAAATAAAAAAAAAATTCATCGAATTTAGTCAAGTAATTGTCAAGGAAACTTCAAAGTTTTAAAAAAAATTCAGCTCAATTTACTGATAGACAGAACAAGTTATTTCTTTTAGCGAAGTTTTCTTGACAGCTAATTGCCCAAATTAAATGATTTTTTTTTATTTTAATTCTACAAATTTATAGAATTAAAATAAAAAAATCTTATCGAATTTAGACAAATAGTGAGAAAATTTTGCTCAAAGTTTTAAAAAAAATTCAAAAGCATTTAATTTACTGATAAACTTTTCTCGATAACCATCAGACAAAATTTATAAAAGTTTTTTTATCTTAATTGTATGAATGTATAGAATTAAAATAAAAAAAGTTAGAAAATTTCTATTTGTGCACTATGTGTACTGTAACCGTTGAATGGGAGAGCTAATAAAATACCAACGGTGTACGGATAATAAGGCTAACTTTGGGTAAGTAAAATGGGTCTTTATAAGCGTTAAGAAATTAGTAGGGCGATATGGTACTTTAGAGTACTGCGTTTGATGTCAATAAGTGATGATAATGGATGAAGCAATGACGGGTGATGCCGTTAAGGGTGATAACAAAGTGATGATCTCAAGGACTGTGGTGATGATCAAGGGGTTGAATAACCAATCGTAAGCATCGTTCTCTACCACAATTCCCGCAAGTCACTAATGTGAATGGCAATATCTGATTCCACAACCGTTCCAGAATCCGAGTCTTAATAAGCCAAATCGAAGTTACCAGTCAATTCAGTCCGTCGAATTGAGTCTCGAAAGGGTTATTAAAGTTACAAGTCGAATTCAAAAGATAAAGTCTCAGGGGAAATTCAGATAAGTATATACACTTTATTGTTTATTAGGAATTGAAGGTGGACATGTAATGTTGTTCTTTATTAAATTTCAGGCACTTATATACATTTTATTTTTGTAAGAGCGTTTACGCTCTTTTTGAACGTATACGCTCTTTTTGAATGTATACGCTCTTTTTGAACGTATACGTTCATGGCGCAGGGATAAACATATTTGTGTTAAGGACGTATACGCGATGTTTGAGCGTATACGCTCTTGCATAAAATAAGCCACGAAGCCACAATCAACTACCTTTTTAGTATACTTAATTAAAATATTTACACGTAACAAAGAAAAGTCAGTTACTGCTATGAAAATGGAATTGGGAAAAACTATATACATAAAAATAAAGATAAAACTATAATAATATGTTTATATAGAAATAAAATAAGATAAATTATAATATACAAACAGACATCTCCTCCAGGATCGAAGATAACGGTAAGGGGCCAGTCAATTAGTAAGTATCGGAGCCCTTGGTTGATTATATCGAGATTTTCATTTTCAACGCCTTTATCCATACTATTCTTGATTTCTACTACAAAATCTTCAAATCGATCTTTTAAACGCATATCATGTTTAATTTTATCCTCAAGTTCCGCCGATTTCAACACCCATTTAGATGCCATCCATTCGTTCTTAACCATGCCTATGCCATTTCGGAAGCAAGGTCCAAGATCGTATTGTCCAGTTAGATTATCGCCTTCAGAGTCCTCGTGCAAGTCGGGCGGCATTGCTTCTCCCTCTTTCTTACTGGGGTAAGTAAGCTCATGATTTTCAATTTTATTCTTTAGTTTTCTTTCTTCATTTTCTAATACCTTTACATTCTTTGATTCAATTTCTAGCGCCTTATCTAAATCGGCAAGTGGTTCGTCGAAACTTTCGTGGAGAAGTTATGTTCCACTTTTTCTATTCGCTTCTTTATCTCTGTTACTATCGTTGTTCGTATTTAGTATTCCCTTATCACTAACAAATTCTTTTATTTTATATATAATTTTTTCACTTTCCTCATTAAAAATCGTCTTCCTATCAACATAGACGTTACGATCAGCCTTACGACTCTCGGAACCTTCAAGGTTACTTTTTTCATCTAACTTATCATATTCAATATCCTTCGAATACTCCTTATTCTCACTCCTTTGTTCGACCTTTTCACTTTCCCATCCATCTCTATGTACATCGTTGCTTATTTCACCAGTGAAGTTGTAACTTTAGTTTCACCTGATCGATTCTTTGCATGCATGCTAATTTCAAATACGACATGTCTATTGTTATTTCCGACTATCGTTAGTAATCATCCGATTAAACAAAGACGCCATCCAGAGTTACAAATGGAGTCGCATATGAGTTGGCGTTGCTCTCCCGAACTTTGTAATAGTATGTACCAGTGTTAAAGATCTAATGTTCTCAGTGTCCTCAAGAACATTTAAAAAACTTTGAGAACATTGTATTTAAAAATTATGTTCTCTTTTGAGAACCAACCAAGAACATAAAATTTATAATTTATGTTCTCATATGATATATAGAAAATATACAATTTCTCTCTTTTTTTTTTTTTTTTTTATCATTAGAACATAAAATTATCAATTTATGTTCTCAAAGAACCAAAAAAAAAAAATTTCAGATCTTTAACACTGGTATGTACATACGTAATCCGCATGGGATTTAGCTACAATGGTTGTTATATAAATAGTTTTATCTATCATATATTAAAAATTATTGTCGCAGCTGATGCTGAAATTCGGACCTATTTTGATATGAAAATTTAAAAATTTTTGGGGTGTTTTTGTCCGCTTTTTTTTTTTAGAATTAGGATAGGATTTAGGGTTAGAATTGATAATTAAAGAGTATATGCGAATTTTAGCAGGGCTTATATTTTCAAATCGAGATCCCAAATTTCAGCATCAGCTGCGACAATTGTTAATAAATATGCGTTTTAACATCAAAAGAAAAGACAATACGTTTATCAATAAGGCCAACCCAATTTAATTCAGTGATTTATATTGCATCCTTCTTTCTTCTGGGATAAGTTCATAATTAAAAATTTTTTACAAGTTATTCGTAACCCAATATACACTATTTTTGTTTAATAAGAGGAAGGAAGGGGTAATGTAGACCACCGAATTAAATTGGTCCAGTTCAAACATTGTTTCCTACTTTAAAAAGGTTTCAAAGACCTGATTTAAAGAAGAGTATTATGTATTTCTAATTTATAATATTTAAATAAAACGCCTATTTTAATAGTATGTAATCCTTATATTTCCACTTTCGGGTAATTTAAAAATAACGCATTAGATAATGAATATAGATGTGATCTGGATTGTGTACGTATACGCACGGACGCACGTACAGTACATAGAAATGCAACTTAAATAATCTATATATAGAATTAATGTTATATCCGAAATTAGCTAGGCATGTGTCAGTGGAGTTGTCTGTCAACAAAGTAAATCAAAACTATGTATGGTATCATATGAAAAATTTATCAATTTTTTCATGTAAATCCTATTTATTTTTTTTTTGATGCTAATTATAATGATAATTATTTAGATGCAGGGTCTTTACAACTAAAAATTAGAAGTCCTAACTTTGAACGAATCAATAGAAGACCTCTACAATGCATATTACAGAGCAAAATTTTATATTTAATTAAAAAAATTTTTGCCGGGAGTTTAAATTTCGTCCAGATTATTCGAACAACGAATACGGATAAATTAAGCTAGAAAAGAATTATTTTTTATATGTAATGTAAAAGGCGGCTCTGTAACTTTGTTATTGGGATAGAAAAGAGTCAATTGGCATTAAAACTTTCTATTAAAAAAGAAAGCTGTAACCTGTGCATCTAAAAAAAGGTACATCAATTATATATATAAATATGTTATACTGATTAAAAAATAGCAGTAAGTTTAAATATTAGTAACTACATATAGTTTTGATTTGCTTAGTTGATAGGCAACCCCAGTGTGTCAGGGTTGCGTGGTAGAAGATGAATGAAAATAATATGATTCTGGTTCAAATCGTGGTAATGAATAATCAAGAATATAAATAAACAATTGGTGCATGAAAAAATATGTATTTAATGAATTTCAACGTGCTAGGAAGAAGTCAATAATAAAGGAGAGAACAAGTGTTAAAAGAGTAATAGTTAAGCGAAGCAAGAGGAAAGAAACGAGTATAGAACCTCCAGCATTAACAATTGAAATATTTTAATGTTTTAACAAAATAAATAAATTAAAAAAACATTTATTTTTTACAAAAATTTTATTTCGATAATTTCATTGAACAGTTTATAATCAGTTAAGGATTCAGCAGATAAAGCACTAATTATAACAATCACTTAATTGATAATATGGTCCAAAGGCAATAATTACCTTGTGGATGTAATTGCGAAATTTATCATTATATTATTCTGTGCGTATTGAAATTTTAATATGATTGGTCAATACTGTAGTCATACAAAAAATTCCTTCATATCAAATATGTGCAAGTAACGCTTACCCTTGTTCATATATATAATTTAAATCTTGATTATGTCGCCGGAACCGTCTTATAGATTCTTGTAAATGACCATTATATGTAGCCTAATGATTAAGCGATGACATTTAATGTTTTTTCAACTTAGATTTATTGCAGTATGTAATGACTAATTTTAGTCTGCGTAATTTGTATAATTTATACACATTGATCATCAAGATTTGGTATAAAATTATTGAACTAATAATTAATAAATCTATCTATCGCTATAATAAAGTTATCATGCAGGTATCAGTGGTTAATAAGTAATAGCAAATCAGATTCCTGCATGATTGATTTAGTAACTTCGCAGTATCAAAGAAATGATCGAAATTAAGGTTATAGTTAAGAAAATCAAGGTTAGAGTTAAGAAAATTAAGGTTATAGTTAAGAAATTAAGGTTAGAGTTAAGAAAATTAAGGTTATAGTTAAGAAATTAAGGTTAGAGTTAAGATAGTTATGTATGTAAAACGCATCCACTGCATTTTTAATAAGTTTAAATAAATATTTCTCTTTATACTGTTTTTTTATTTTTTTGTTAATCTCTCAATAATTTTGCAAGTTATTCTGATAAAACTAAATTAATAGTAATCTAACACAAGTTTTAATCTGAGACACAATAGACATACCAGTCTTAGTTTTATTTACACTAAAGTGAAAATTACAAATCATGAATAATAAAAATTCATGCACCAAATTCCTCCCAAATATTATTAAATGTCGCGGCTGATGCTGAAATTTGGGGTCTCGATTTGAAAATATAAGCCCTGCTAAAATCCACATATACACTTTAATTATAAAATCTAGTCCAAAAATCCTAACCCAACCCTAAAAAAAAAAAAAAAACGGAAAAAAACACCCCCAAAAAATTTAAATCTTCATATAAAAATAAGTCCAAATTT